ACTTGCAGTACAATATATAATTAACTTTTATTTTGTTCACATTTTATAACTTTCATAAAAAATAAAATAAAAAGAAATCAAAAAACATTCAAATTTTACAATCATAATAAGAGTTTTGATAGATTCTTATTTATTGTCTCTTAATATACACATGCAGCATGCCAGACTCTGGGAGTTAACCCACATTTAAGTTGCATTTAGAATGCGTCAGCACACAAATAACCCAATTCCCCAGGCATTTCGAGCATAAAAGGGGAGAAAAACAATCGAGATTTGTCCATGCAGAAGTTTGCATTGAGCTTCCTTTTGTAAACAGCACATTTTTGGCATACACTGAATGCTGAACAATTCGAATTTATGTTTGCGGCTGCGTCTACTTTTAACTACTTAAAATGCTCGAGTCGAGACAGCTCGACTAGGAGATACTCTGAACCCGACCACTAATTTCACAGTAGTAGTTTGTTCAATATAAAAGTAAGTATATTTTTCGGTATAGGAATAGTTATCGATAGTTATTGATTAAATTATATAAACTCGATCTGTCTTCTTAGGGTTCAACGCATAACAATATTCCCAAAACAGTTTTGAACAGTCAGAACTTTACCAAAAGTGATCCGATTTTCAAAATCAGTTTTACATTTAAAGCTGATTCTTGTTCGAGATGTATATCAAAATTATACTCCTCATTTACAGTGTAAACAGTTCGTTTACCGTGTTCTTTCGAGATTAATTGTAATTTGAATTGAAGAATTTGAATGAAAAGAAATCAAACTGCATTTCACATCAATATTCATTACGTACAGGGAACTCTTTTGTAATGCCACCAAGGTGCATGGCCCATAATCCAAATGCCTTTTTTGATTGGCATATTGATGTCAACAGTGAAGATTATGCATTATGACGTTGTCATTTATTTTTGCATCTGTGGCATCTCATTCTTGCGCCTACTCAGGGGCATGAAATGATTGTTGTTGTTGTTATTGTTGTTGCAGCTGTTGCTGCTGCTGCTACTACTGCTGCTGGAAGCGAGCCGACTTTCACCATTGTTGTCGGGCCAACAGCAATCAGCCAATTGACTTGCTGCAACTGAAAATTAGTGAACCGTTAAGAAGTAATGTGCACACAATTCAATGCAATCAGATATTGGATATACAACACTTTTGGGAAAGGGTATCAATTACCATGGAGCGGGATTTTCAAATAGTATCTCACAAAAAAAAGAAAAAACAAAATGGAAAGGTATAAATCAATGTGCATTTTTCCATTGCGTATTTTATGCTGTTTTGTAAATTAGTTGCTGTGGCCTGCTTGGCAACTGCAGCTGCAACGAGCCGCACATCCGCAGCAGTCTCCTCAATGTGGATGCCACCAGCCCTCTTCGAGCCCCTACGCAGACATGGCACACTTCCAACGTGGCTCAGTTGGCTGCGTTGGCCAATGCGACATAATTAAAATTCAGCATAAATAAACACAAGCGATGATGAATTGGCCAGGAATAGGGCCAGGGACTGGCCGAGGGGCTGGGAGGGGTGTCGACATCGGAAATGTGCGTTAATCCAATTAAATGCGCAATTTGCATGTGCAAACAGCAACAGGAAAAAATGGTTATTAATTAAAATTGGAAGCGCTGACTGCAATTAACAATAATTTAAAATAATAAGCAAACAGTTGGTATAAAATGGAAAGAATATTGTAATGGGGTATGGGTAATTGGCAATTACAAACTGTAGCTTCACTGTACCATTATAAAGGATCATTTCAGCTGTGGCAACTGTTGCTGCTTGCCCCACGCACAAGTCCAGTTCATTTATGCAGCTTCATATTTGGGACAACGTCCTCGCTGCGACTTTTGGCCAGCAGTTTGCTGTTAGTTTTTGCTGTTTCCCTGTTTATTTATTTGTTTGTTTATTTGCTTGTTTGCTTGTTTGCTTGCAATGTTGTTTAGGTTGTTCAACCCGCTGAGCGTTTTGGCTACAGTGCCAACTGCCTACGACGATATGTTGTTGCTGAGTGTAGTCACCATTTTGTCTCCGTCTCTTGTTTGTTGCATTGTTTTGCCCATCATCAGTTGCCAGTATTTAACAGCCACTTCTCTCTTGCGCACACAGTGCCAAATCACAGCCAACAGCAGCTCCAGTGGCGGACACGTGCCGCCGGATGATAACACGCAAATCCGTGCAAATAAACTGCAGTGTAATGCGAAAATTCTACATGCGCTGCCACACTCAGAAAAAAATCATTTCATAAACATTTTTAATAATAAAATATATTTCTAAAAGGTAAAATGGAACTTATTATTTTAAAATAAAGTCCTTTCTGAAATTTAGAAAACTTTGGAAATTGAATATCTTACAAAAATCCCCTGGTTTTTCTAAAAACAAAATCTTTCTATTTTTCCTAAGTGCATGCACTCGAAGAAATCTAAGTGGAGTGTTTAAGGGAGTGTTTCAGCAGACTGTAGAAGTTAAACTAAAAGAAATCAATTATTAAATACCTTTATACAATATAAGATCATCGAAACATGCAGATGTCAATTGTTACACATTGAATTAAAACAACAATTTTTGTTGAAATTGCTATTCGTTGTATATTTCATATTCTCATATTGATTGATTGACCCAGAATTATCTCTCAGTGCACATACACTCGTAAAGCACACAGCAGTGTAGCTTCAGCTCCCCAGGGGAGCGATTTCGGACAGCAGTTAGGCGCATAACATGAGCCATCATTTAGTAGCTGAGCGAAGGGGGGAGGGTGGTGGGTCACGGGGGTTAGAAACGTGTATGGGAAAGGCGGTGGAGGAGGTCGGGGTCGTAGTGTGGATGGGTGGTTAGACATTTACCAAAATTTAACTTGTGCAATTTGCATGGGCCGCAAAGTAAAAGTAAAAACCGATACTTTTGTCCCAACTTTTTGAGCCATAAAGCAGCAGCAGCAAACCAGCAACAAACAACAGCCGACAGGGTAAAGGGAGAAGGGAGAAGCACCAACCACAATGGGAATATACAGGAATAATAAGCACGCGTCCTTTGTCCTGTGCACGACACACATTCAGCAAATGTTGTTGCAGCTGTTTCTGTTGTTCCTGTTGCTGTTGTTGTTTCTGTTGTTGTTGTCTGGCTGTCGTCTAAGCTGGCAGCAATACAAACAGACACGTGCAACACCCACACGTGGGAGGGAAGGCTACACTCAGAAAAAAGAAACGATAGACTGCATTTTACAAGAGCGAAAGTGTTACTCACCCAATTGTGCAGAAAATGTATTTGTAAAAGGTATATAAAAGTACATTTTGGAGATAATACTTCTAATTTCTAGAGTGTTTTAAAAGTTGTTACTAATATTATTGCTAATTCTTAGTATTTGAAGATTTCAAGTATACATATATTTAGTATTTAAAACAAGATAATTTAATTGGAAAAAACTTGAGCAACTTAGAGAGCAAGTTTCAATGCTAATTTCTGAATTTCAGAAAGATGTTTAAAAATTATAAAAAAGCCTTATTTCTTATAACCCACGCATTTTTCTAGTTGTGTAATTTTTATGGATGATTTTTTTCTGAGTGTAGTAAGGGCTTGAGTGGGGTAACGGTGTGGCATGGTGCTTGCATGTGCTAATGATGGATTGTTTACAAGAAATTCAAGTTCCTTTCGAAACGTTTTCTAATAGCCACAGAGTGTCCTTTCGCGTATTTTGCTGAGGGGCTTCTTGGTCTTTAAGTTGCACAACCCCTGCAGCTAAAAATTAGCATAAGCAAGTGTGTATACTCTGCGTAACTACGCCGTAACTCGTACCACATACGCTTCCACTTTCAGTTCGAATCTGACAATTTCCGCCAGCATTTCAGCAGCGTTCTGTTGCCAGGATACTCTAGCTACTCTAGCTGTGGTTTTGTCAGAGGCAATGGGTTGGGGTTCCCTTTTGGGCACGTGATTTCATTGCGACAATTAATTTTGTGCAGCTCATTAAGCACAAATTTTTAGCGTGGGGTTTCCTTTGTGTTGCTTCAAAATACGTTGTTGAAAATTTCCATTTTTGGCTTTATGCGGCAACAAATTGAAGTTAACTGTTTGGGTTTAAGGTTGAGTTTTGGGTTGCCTGGCTGCCCGACTGCCTGACAGCCTCTATAAAAGTTAATGGCCTCGCTAGATAGCTAATGTGCGCGTCGGACAAAGTCTGTTTACGGGTTTACTGGTTTACGGGTTAATGCTTCGGGTCAAGATACCATTTATTTAACTACGCAAATATTTCAAAATTGTGTTTGCTATTGAGTCACAATAGGTGGGCGACTTGAGCTGTGCATATATGCTACTAAATACGTATTAAGAACAGTGAATATATTATCAGCGTAATAACGTACGGGCTGGGGGAACAGCTGCCACCCTCCTCCCATACATCTCAAACTTTACATTGACGTACCAAGGTTCAGATTGATATGAAAAATAATCTACATTTGCGAATATAACCGATTTAAAAAATATAAATAAATAAACACATTTATTTTAAGATGTTTGAATATTAAGTTTTGTATTCTGTTGAAACAATTTAATTAATTTCTTATTAATCTTATTAATTACTTTTATTTTTTTAACTTAAAGTTATATTTAAGATTTTATTATGAAACTTGATTTAATTATTTTTACCTTTCCTGAGTCAGGGGATTTCGGTCAACATAAAACCAGTAAAAAAAATAAATAAATAAGTATATAATTTCATTGGATATTACAATTTTTTTTTTCTTTTTATAGATTTTTTTTTTAATTTTAAATTTTATTTGCTTCGGGTATTAAATTAATTGAAAGAAAATGTATACATTTGGTTGAATAGATCTTTAAATATTCATGGAAAGTAACATGGACTGCATTTTTGAAAAGTCAGTGTTGCTTAGATCTACAATATTTAGGCAACACTGACAGCCTGCCAACAAAATCGTTATGCAGCACTGTAAATGCTTAACAAAATAAAAATCAAATCAGTTTTGCTTTAAATCGTTGTGAATCAAACAAGATGGTGAAGCAAAATAAGAAAAAAACCAAAACAATGAATGAGACCGAAGCGACGGCATCGGCCTCCTCCAATGAGGACAGCGACGAGGATGCCAGTGTGAATGTGGATGCGGATGAAGTGGAGGAGAGTCCACGTAAACGCAAACCTTTTAGCTCTATAATCGACGAAGTGACCATCAAATATGTGCAGGACTTGACCAACGTGTCCAACCAAAAGGACGACGACCAAAAGCGATTGGGTGAGTTGAGAAAGTGACAAAATATAAACTCAGTTTGTTACACCCACATTCTGTTGCCCATTCCAGAGCTGTCTAAGCTGACGCCGGCAGAGATGAGCTGCCACATACGTCAGCTGGAGGCAGAACTCTTTGAGCTGAGCAAGCTCGAGGCACGGGAGCTCTCACGGAGCGCACACCTGCGAATCTTTGGGAATGCTCGCAAACGCGCCAGCAAGTAATGGTTTGGGTGAATTGATACTGTGTTGTATATCAAATAAATGTTCAGCACATAACTCCAGTAAATAAGTAGCTGCCATCTGGGCACATGTGACTAAATCCGCTTACAGGGCTTAATTTCCTGGCTTTGTCGTTTCGCTTGTCTATTTGGTCAGCGGACATTACACATCCGCCCCGGGTTCGTATTTACTGGCCTGACCAAACACGCAAATGCGCAACTAATGGCCAAGGGACTTGTGGATGGGGGAAGGGCATAGTAGCTGGACGGGGCATCCAGTACTGGGAACTGGGGACTGAGGCTCATCGGCATTGGAGCGACGCATCATCGAGAGTTTGGCTTAGTGCCGTTTCTGCTTTGTCTTCCTGTTTGTGCCTCAGTAAGTAGCCCAACTCTATCCCATTAGTAACTCAATTCATTGCAAATAGTTGGAGTTTATTACAGTGCTCGCCCACAAAAAGGGAATTGCTTCAGCTGTGCAGTGCTTAATTAGAGAATAATTCGCATAATTCGAATGTCTCAAATAATTGAGTTTAATATGCACTCTGCAAAATTCAATAAAAATTGAAAATACAATTTTCTGTTTTGCTTCACATTAGCTAGTTACATTAAATATGAATTGAATTAAAATAGCAATTATAATTTGAAGAAAACCGCTTGAAAATGCGACATTAATACATTTTTTAAGGTTCCAGTTTATTTTTCTCCTCCCTAAAAGTGAGTGTGGATCCTCCATTTGTTTAACCCCAGTGGGTTTTGGGACCATTCTCTTGGGTAGCTCCCCAGTCTTGATGCGTCTAATCTGTAGAGTTTTTAAGTCCGTTGAGGTGACAATCTTTCCGCTGGAACCATAGAGACGTGTAACTTAAATTTAACTTGAAATATCTTTGATTTTTCAATAGCATTAAAATTCCATATTTTTGTCCAATTTTGAATGTTATGTAGATGACCAGAGATATACTATTTGTTTCAGAAAAAAGTTTTACTGACTTAAGTGTATCAAACTTTGAATATTTAATTTGCATTTCACAAATTCTCAATACAATAGAGCCGAACATCGGAAACTAGTCAATAATATATATTATCAGTAACAAGATTATTTTTGAGACAGTTCAAGTTTTGCGAGTGCGCACTGTAATTGGAATTTTATTACATGGATTTGGGCTAATTCTTCATTTCCTGTTAAGGCCAGACTCGATTCAGACGCTGAGGAGCTAAGAGTGTGCTTAAGTTGATTAAATTTCACGCGATTTGATTCGATTTTCAATGCGATGTGAAACCGCAGATACAAAATGCAGCAAACTCCATTATGCTAAATAAACAGGACGACCCCACAAATACCCTAACTGCTTGTCATTTATCAGCTAACCCAAACCAAACGAAAACTGCACGAGATTTTTTGGGGTTGTGCTCGTCCGTTAACAACTTCCTGACAACTCTTTGGGGGTTTAACCGAGAGGTGGGAGGATGGTGGATGGAGGATGGGGGGAGGGGAGGCTAGCTTGTTTAGGTAAATGCAGTCAGAGAAAGAGTCCTTGTGAAAAGTAAATGTTGTCGCCGCTATGGTGTTGGTTTTGGTGGTTTGGTGGCTTGGTTGCGGGTGCAAATGGTTGTCATCTTCAAAAGAATATCTCATCATCAGTTTCTGCTGATTTGGGGTTTGTCAAAACATAGCATTAACCCCAACCTCAGCGCAACTGACAACTGACAGGCAAAACTGAATGCAACATGTGTCCAGGATTTGCTTTTGTTAATTTTCCAACCCCCGATGCAAAACAAGCGCGCTTCTAAGGGTTACTCGTCTAAGGGTAGCTTTCGCCTAATAGAATATGCTCATTATGGGATTTGTGCCTGAGTGTGTTTCAATGTACATAACTCAAACTAAATGATTATAAATGAATAATCATAATCGAAATGGAATGTCGCACACAAATATTCAAATCCAAACCGTGAAAGGATTTAATTTAGTTGAGTGCCACGTCGCTGATTTGCGTCTCAGCCGAAAATTGTAAGTTTGGAGTTGTGACTTAGGAATTTTGAGTATGGAGTATGGGGCTGGAAGTGCGCAGTTTCTCTTGAATATAAATATATATATATGAATCGAGTGAATGTTTGACTGAAACTCTGTATCTCTGTGTTGTTCTCAGGCTGCAGAAATATGTTTGCCACATGAGCTGCAATTTGTTGTCTCTTGCGACTTTCTCTCACGTTGCCACAATTTACATTCACAATCGTATCCAACAAGTGAGAAAACCTTTCGAGCAATGCGGTTGCCCAACTTTAGTATACCTTAACCTGAGTGACTTTAAATTTGGCTTAAGGAATAATACAATTATTATTTAGTTCCAGATTGGTAAAAGAATTATAAACATAAATACAATAATAAACGCAGAAAGACATCTTGCTGATAACTAGACAATATTTCTGTATTTTAGAAATAACTTCTAAATATGTGAAAAATAATTTTTTTTTAAATATATTTTTATTTAATAGAAAATATTTCTAAAAAGTAGAAATGCAAACAATTATTTGGAGCGATTATTTATGATTCTTAATGGAAGACAGATAAAGTCTACAACAAAATCGAATGTCTAAAAATTAAGTGGTAATATTTATATAAACTAATTTTGAATGAGTGATGAAAAATATTAAATAAATAAAACTATTTTTTTTTAAATCTTTTATTTATCATTCATATACATATATTCTTGGATTTCTACATTAAATTAAGTTTATGTTAAATTTTACTTAACAACAAGTTACGAAAAACTTGCTAAAGATTCGCAATTCTTCGGTTTGAGTAAACTGTTCTTCAAAATATGTATATCAAGTATAGTATTTGCTATAAGCCGCCAATACCCCACAACTCCTATATAAGTGAGGGTATATCAACTAATTGTCTTCTGCTGCAATCAATTGTGAAGCAATGGCAAAGTTCACTTTGTGGTCGGAAGCCACCTGGAAGCAGCTTTCTGGCCAACACAGCGTGTTAGTTGCTATGTGTGTGTGAGCGAGTGTGTGTGTGTGTGTGTGTGTTGATGTCTAATTAATGTGTGCAGCTATTAGTTAGACAAGTTGTGCGTGGGAGTCTTGTTTTGGCAGCAGCTTCAGCTGCACTTGGCAATGTGGCCCTTCCGCACTTAATTAGCTCTTCTCGGCAAGGCAGAAGATAGATTTAATTACAGTTAATATCAGCTGGTGCACATTGTATGTTAATTTATGCAAATTTTGACATAACACTGTCCATGCCAATTATACGAGTAAATTTCACTTTATGGGAATTTCATTCACTCAGCTAATTGCAATGCGCTGCGGCACATTCATAACTCATTCGAAATGCTTTTATTTATGTTTTATGTGCAATTTGCAATCTAATGTTTAATGTGCACACTTGAGCGTTCATTCGCCTCTTGGATGCGTTCTTAAAGAGAGATAGAGAGAGAGAGAGGGTGAGGTAGAGGGGGATAGAGAGACAGAGAGCATGCTGGCAGGATTCAAGCGTTGTTCTCTTCTCCTTTTGTTGTCTAGCCAAACGGGGCAGCAGACACAAAGAAACCTCGTCTGGGTCTTCAACTCCGATGACTCCAACACCAACTCCGACTGAACTTCGGGTTCGCTAAACTCCAAAAAAAAAACTAAGCCAAGTTGTTGGCCAAACAAATAAACAACAGCAACAACAGTAGCAGTAAGTGGAACAAGCTCAGCTGAAGGATATGCTGCACTCCACGATGAAAATCTCATTAAATGCTGATTTGGTATATTTTAATTCAATATCAATAGTAATAATAATAAAAATATGGGAATTATGAAATAAATTCAATTAAATATAAAATACAATTTAATATTTTTGCTTAGCTTTAACCTAAAAAATTAGAATAAATTTATTAAATTTCTTGGCGTATTTAATTGCAAAATTGGATCAACATTTGTTTCATGGATGTGGGAAAACCCAGGAAACTCCAATTAAAAAAAAAAAGAAAAACAGTTAATATACACATTTAATCCAGTATCCACAAGATGTGTTACAAATATGAAATCATAAGACAGATATTGTTAAATATAAGTGAAACCTTTTAAGAGCATCAAGAAGAAAAACATTTGTAAGCAGAAACAAGCAAAAATTTGTTACACAAATAAATATATAAAGCACATAAAAGAGTATATCTACTATTGTTTATTAGTCGATCAAAAATGATTGATTTATGTTACAATATACAATAGAAAATCGCCTTAAAATAATAATCGACCTGAAAACTATCAAGTTTTATGGACTTTAGAAATAAATAATATACGAAAAGAATTGCCTAAAATAATGAAGGATTTTTTCTAGTTTTCTGAATTTGATTTCCTAATAATAAAAATAATTTGTAAAAAATAGAGATGCTAATTCTTATTTTTAGAAAAATGTCTGTCTGTAATTCAGTATTAATTTCGCGATTTCTGAATATATACAATATTAATAGATTATACAATGCAGTAACCAAAAATAACCATTAACAAAATTCAAATAAGAATTCATTTCAATTTAATAAAGTCTGTTCCTTTCCCTATACTTAGTTTTTAAATTGTTTTAAGAATATCAGCACAGAGAATAAGTTTTTTTTTTTTGATTACTTACTGATTCATTTGTTGATTTTCAATTGGAATTAAAGGAAATTTCTGGACAAATAGAGTGCTAATAGAATGCCGCATCTAGACTCATATTTGCTTACCCTACTCTTGTCTATTTACAGAGTATGCTTACACACACACACACAGACGCACACGCAACAAGGATAAAGCATTTGTAGCCTTTCATCTGCTTAACATAAACTCTCGCTCAGCCACCCTCCCAGCATGTCCCTCTCTGCCTGGCTTGAATTATACTGGGATGTGACTGGCAGCCAGGGCATCCTTGGTGTTATAATGTAGTTGTTGCTGCTGTTGTTATTTATGCTCTCTATCCCTCCCACCTGTAGGCAGTCCGTTAGTCTGTCTGGCAGTTAGTCAGTTAGTCAGTTATTTGGCTACTTTATTATGCATCTTCCATTCAGTCTATTCAGTTATTCCATTTTCCATTTTCCATTTTCCATTTTGCACTTTGAAATTGTCGCTCCATTCCAAACAGCTCACTTGGGCGCGATTAGACGATGCCTTCAACTGAGGACTGGCAATGTAGTTTGGGGTTGGGGGTTGGGAATGGGAGAGTGTGGAAAGGGGGGGCGGGGTGGGGTGGGGTTTCAGGTTAAAAAACTCATTAGTTGGCAGGGCGGAAATTAAATGAAATCCTATTAGAAGCTCTATTTGCTGTGCGGCAGTTGTGCGCTTAATTTATGTGGCACGCATTTATTATTATTATTCCACGCATTTCACATTTTCAGCACTGAATCCTAATTCTAATTATGATAGATAGCCACCGACCTGCAGTGGTGTGGAATAGAGTCGCCAAGAGGCATCAACTTGCAGCTGCATTCCGTCACTTGGCCCGGCTGTCAACGCAAAACTCGACGAATCCGCTTAATAAAGCAGTCGACACACAAAAATAGCAGCGAAATACACTGGCCAAAATTAAGCTGATAAATCGAGAAAAAATAGAGAAACTGGATTCGAGACCTTTGAATTATATTTTGACCAGTCTTTAGTTAAGAATTTAAAGACAAAGACTGCATTTGTGATGTGTATTTCAAAATGAGAATGAAAATGAGAAGAAAGCAAAGATTTTGATTTTAAAATTTGATTTATAAGTTAGTTTTAAGTAATTAAAAACTTGACTATTAATTTAGCTGTTATCTAAGTATTCAAGTTGTTTAATCAATTTTTAAATGAAACTGTATCTCTTATAATCAATTTAAGTACTTAAATTGCGAACAAGAATGTGAACTATATATTTTAGGCACAAATGTGCCATTTTTTTTATGTATTTATTATTCGATTTAAGAATATTTCTTTATATGTTATTAATTAATTGTTTTTTTTTTTTTGTAGTGCAGTATTAGGCCCTTGAAGGGGGCGTCTTTTAAGACATTGCTGATCAAAAGCTGGCAACCGCCTTTGATTTTGCCATATTTTGCCGTAGCCAGCAAGTTGCACTTCCGTGTTGCGTGTGGGTGGTGTGGGGTGGTGGTGTGTAAACTTCCCTCTTTCATACCACTAAAGAGAAGATTTTGGCCCCAAAATTAAATTTGGGTAGCATCAACAATTTGGTAAATGTTAACTTTGCTAATTTGCATAAACCGCAACAACCGCCGTGGCTAAAAAGTTAAGCGGACTTTTCTCCATCCCTTTCACCCAAACAGTGAAAAAATATACCATAAAAAGAGATGGAAAATTGCCGGCAAATGCAATTTTCGAATAGGCTAAAGGGGGAATCATAAAACATTAACACTCAACCCGACTATGAAAATACCCGCACCCGATTCCAGGGAGTTAACGGAAAACAAGTGATTTATAAATAATAGTTGTGGTTTGAATAGTTATTAATGTAACCAAATATGAATTATTTCGATTAAAAAACTCTAAAGTCTTGGTAATTTTAATTATTACAATAATAATGAACAATGATAATCGTATTATGAACAAAGTTCACAAGCTAAGAACATATTATATATTACTTAAAAGTGTTAAATGCCATTTCTTTGCTCAAACTTTTTTATTCATCAATTGAATTATTTACAGAATATTTTAATTATTTTGACACAATTCTTAGCTTTTAAATATTATAATATTTTAATCTTCCCGTTTATCAATCTGCTGAAACAATTTTCACAAAACTGTTCTAAAAATGAAACAAACTTTTCGTATAACTTGTTTTCTTAAAACCTGCAAATATTTTCAGTTTTTAGAGCGATTTTTAGCATACCCTGTTTGGAACACAGAGTGCCGGATATTGAAGACCACGACCAACTGACTGAGTGTCTTGCTGGCTGCCAGTCTTGTTAGCCATTCAGCCCGGCGGCCAGTCCTCTGCTGTTCTGGCCTTTTCTGTGTTGTGCTGTCTGCCCGTATTTGAGCACTGACATATACATAAGGAAATATATATATATATGTATATGTATATCCTTGCACACTGCTACGCGACTCACTTTCGGTTTCGCTGTTTTTCACTACATGGAGTTTTTTGGGCCGGGCCTGTTCCGTAATCCCCAGCAAACGCTGTTAGACACGTGCACAACGTGGTAATTTGTATATGTGTGAGAGAAAGAGAGATAGAGAGAGAAAGAGAGAGATAGATGGAACAGCAGACTGGCCGCAAATTGTAGTGCAATGTTGGGACTCCCCCAATCGTAGCTGTTGTTCCTGCTGTTGCGTTCCCTGTGCCGGATGTCTATGCGATAATGATGGATTGTTTACAACAATGCAAAGGTTCAAATGCGTCAGGCCAGACTTGGACCTGGCTGCAGCCCACTCGAGTGTATCCTTCTCTTTTTTGGGCTTGTATGAATTTTGAATAAGTTTTTGGCTAAATGATTTGATTGGAGCTAAGCGAAAGGGAGCCCAAAAAGCGAAATTAGCTTCTAATGGGATATGAAAAGCAAATTACGAAACATATTCATTGTTGAATAACATTTATTAAGCAAGGATAATAGAATTAAAGAAATACGTATACAAGATCTTCGTAGAAAGCTATTATCAATTTAATTTGGTCTGGCAAATTAGATTAAGATTGCTTTACAAAATTGCAGAACTTGCAATAAATATGAATATACATTTACAGATACAGACGTAAAGGAAGAAGTATATGAAATCTCAACAAATACCTAAATGTTATAAAAATATAAATAATACTATTGCAACCTACAGTTTTTATTTATATTATTATATTCCTATTTCTAAAATCATTTGTATTATTTCGTAAAAATCGAGTTAGGCTTTTCGTAAAAATCAATACTTTAAAATAACAATATTTCATTTAACACATTTTTGTGAAAAAGATAACATTTCGAAAATTAAAGTTATTGACCGTTTAATTCTGCGAGCGACCACTGTAGTGACTTTAACTTTAATGCATTTAAATTCAAAACACATATAAACACATCTAATACCAATAAACCCAATAACAACAACAGCTAGCGTGACTGCTGCCGTCTTATACGCGCGTCAATGACTCTTATACGAGCCACCACCTAGCATGCAGTAGTAGCAGCAGCAGCAGCAGTCGCAACACAAAAAGCCGGCAATAACAGCAAGAACAGCTGTTTATCTACGGCGAATTGAGCAATGCTGCCGTCGCTGTTAACAGTTTGTACGACTGTCGGTCGTATAAGAGCCACTGTTAAGTTGAAGCATAATTTGAACATTTTCGACTACAGCCAATTCAGTTACTATTGAGTGTTCGCCGCGTGCGGTACGAAGTTAGTGGTGCATTTCGCTAGCGTTGATTCCTGATCGAGCCGATAAGCGTGTGTGTGCATGTGCAAGTGTTAGTGCCTGTGTGTGCGTGTTAGTTGATGTTTTGCAGCCGAGAAATTTACTGCAATTGCTGCTGCTGCGACTGCATTACAATTATGCGATAATTTAGCTGCGCCGCTCTCAAAACTGCAGCAGTCGCGTCGCTGTTATTGCTGTGTTGACAGCTGCCGTCCAACTTTGGCATCTCTTTTGTCTTTGGCTGCGAACGCTGCAAGCGACAAATAAATAAACAAACAACAAACACAAAGAGAAACACACCTGCTGCCATCAGTTGTGCATTCTCGTCTGCCTCTTCTTTCGCCGGTTATTCGCGAGTGTCTAAAATTTTATGCTCAACTATTTTGCTGTCACCAAGAAGCGAAAAGCGAAACAACGATAAACTCACTCAAAGAAGTGACCGCTAAATGTAAGTTGAGAGTGCACTTAAATTGAAGATTATCCAAGTTCAATGACTGTGGTTCTGTGTGTGAAGTGAGTTTTCTAATAATGGGTTGTGTTGTTTTTTTGTTGTTTGTGGGAGCTGATAGCTGATAAGACAGCCAGGCGACATTTGGCCATTTACATATAATTATCTGGTCGCTTTGAATGCTAATATGTTAATTTGACAACATTATCAGTCAGCAGCAGCTGCTTCACATACGTACACATAGTGTGTGTGTGTTTGTGTGTTTTTGTATTGAAATTTAAATTTGGTTAAGGCCGCGTCTGGCATTGAGTAGTTTAAGAAAGTGTCGCAGTTCCCAAATGAACTTGTCAATTGCTCAATGATTGTTGTCGACCGCTCATTTCTTTCTTGTTGCTGCTCCTAATACCCTGTTAAGCAGTTAACAAGGGCGTATATTGTGTAGGGCATGTAGAGTTTAGAAATTAAATAGAATACAAAGATATTTAAAAATTGTTCTCTGAAAAGCTAAAATGGCGAAGAATTTAGGGCAAGTAAAGTTTATAAAGTAATTGGCATAAAAACTTAAAGAAATGTGCTTAAAATTGTCCTACGAAAAACATGAATGCGTTTAATTCAATATTGTAAAAGGTTAAAGGCAAACTAATCAAATATTGAAATATTCTATAATATATATATAATATAATGTATATATAATATAATATATATATAATATAATATATATATAAATAATATTTGTGGAAATGTTGTATAGGGAAAGCAAAAATTATAAACTAAACTGCAATAAACACATAAGGAATTGATTTTTTGTTTTATGAAAAACTAAAATGCTTAATTCAATAATAAATATACTTATTGGTTTAATATTTTTAATTAGAAATGTTTACGGGCAAATAAATCAAATATTGAGCTCAACATTCTATATATATATATATATATATATATATACAAACATAATTTGTGTTGAACTTTGTATCTTGCACATTTTTGCCACGTTCATTTTTAGGATCGGCGCAAAACCTTTTGTGAATAAACTTGTTTTTTCATTCTTAGGTCATAACCCAAATTAAAAATATTAAAATTTGTTGAAAGACAAAACGGTTGGCATACAAAATTCATAAATTAAACAAAATATATGCAACAAATACATAGAGTTTATACATATCTCAGTTATTTACATAAAGCTCATATGAATTTGAGTCAGTTTTAAAATGGATTCTACTGCAAGTTCATTTCTATTCAGAAGCAAATAAATCTTTATCAGTTTTCTCTGATAGTTTGCTCTGATATTGCTAAAATATAAAGTTTATAGATATCTGAGTACTTTTCATTCGATTCTCCCGAGGTCTAGGCAGCTTTATTTTTATTAAGTTTAAATTCGGCTTATGCAGCCATTTCTGTTCTATTCAATGATAAACAAATAATTTTATGAATCTTATTATTTTTGATTAACCGTACACATATTGCACCCAAAAATCACATACAGGGTATTCTAATGGCCGTGGTGCCTCGTTAATGTCTAAAATTTCATGCTTGTTGTCAATATTGGACGGCCTGCGGCGCCTGTGTGCAACACGAGCAATTGAAGTGCTTGTGGCGTCGCCTTCGTCATCGTTATCAGGTTTTTGTCGACGTAGTCGCTTCCGATATCAATTGCTGATAGTGACCCGGCAACGGCAATAGATAGCATCCCTCTCTTATCATGCCCCGACCTGGTGAATGTTGCTTCTGGCATTCCCTTTTAATATTGTTGCACATACTACAAAGCGATGCGAAAGCTTTGCAATGGCACACAATAAAGGGGCATATTTATTTACCGGACAAATATTGATACACTCAAAAAAAAAAGAAAATAAGAAGAATATAATAATAATAAAATACTCTGAAAATGTACACATAAATTGTATAAAATGTATACAAATTATTAACACTCATGATTAAAATCTAAATACCGGAAATTTGAATCTATAAATAAACAAAATAATTGATAAGACTGCTAAAATGAGCAGATTCTGCAAGGTTTAAATTGCAAAACTCACAGATTAAACACATGAAATCAAAACTCAAAAATTAATCTACTGAAACTATAATTATATAATATTTAAAATAACAGTTTTATAACAAATTGTATACAAAAGCCGTGAATTATTGTTAATTTTAAAATAACAACGTCATGAACAAATTATATATTCAGATTATAGCCATGAATTATTTTTAATTTTATAGCAAACAAACATTCTGCAATCTGTAATTATCTTTTAAATATTTATATATTCATATATATACTCTAATTTAATTGATTTCTCTACGGATTCCCACTGCACATCATTTGTTTCTTTACGTGTATTCAGGCATTTATTGTTGTGTTGCTATTAATAATTCTTTTGGGGTGATTTTTAATGCAATGCTCGCATTGCGAAAATACTTCAATTTGTTCGTTTGCTTGCACAATTTTCTCTTCTGGGTCGTAACAGTCGTATGGGTAATAATATTGCGCATACGCCACATGGCGCCACGCTGATAACTCGAATTTGGAATAGGTTTCGCCTGCCTTATGGGCACTCGATGATTGTGTGTGTATTGAATTTCATTTTGTCATTGATTCAATTAATAACAGTGCAATGGCTCTTTTGGCCCAGCGCTTTCATTTCCCCATTTCGGAATTTCGCAACTTTTGCCAACGTCATGAGTAATGGTAAATGGTAATTGTAATGGGCCTCTCGGGTCCGAAGAATCTAGAGTTCTTGATAAGATTAAGCGTCCATTAGATTTCGTGGAAATTATTAATGAATTCAGCGTAAACATGAAGAATGTTACCGTCTTTCATGGATGACTTACTGCACATCAAAATTCCATTAAATATTCGTCAACTTTCACGGGAACTATATTTAATTATATAAATATATATATAGGTATTTATTTGCTGGGTCTTGCTACTTCAAGAATTTCATTTGTCGCTTAAAGCGTTGACAATTTCTGCGTTTGTTATGCGCTTTATTCGCTGTTGCTGTTGTTTTCGGTTTGGCTTACTTACACTTTCCATCATTAAAGCCAGGCCAAAATAAAAATGTCACGGCTATCGAGTGCCGCCGTGTCGTATACGTAATTATGCAATACTTGCCTCAATTTCTACAAGTGAAATAAAAAAATAAAGAAAAAAAAAAAACAACAAACAAAAACAAAACTCGACACCAACGCACGATTCACGACAACAAACAAACATAGAACGACATACGACAGCAATAATATCCAGCATTTTTGGCGTTTAATTATGGTTGCCACAACAATCATAATGGGCAGGGTCTAACGCCCACCCACCTCTCCTGAGGGCAGTTTTTCACGCACGTGCTGCGACCCGGCTGGAAAATACGAGCATTAGCACTGAAAATGCCAAATGCGACTGGCATACGAATTTAAACAAATTGCTCAAAAGCTAAATGCCAAAATTGACACGACTTTGAAATACTTGCACTTCAAATATTTAGTTGTTAGTCCATAGTAGTTATTCCCAAATTTACAATTATTTTTTGAAATGATTGTTGGATTGAAATTTATGTAGTTAGCAGACATTTCTACTCCCAAAGTTGTAAATAGTTACGATAAGAATGGTTTTTTTAGTTGACGTATTTATGAATGCACTCCAAATGTTAAGATAATAATCAATGATAATGATTTAGTAGGTATTCATAAAAAAACAAATACTATTTAAAATGGTTATTCGATTGTAAAAGAAAAGACAACCTCAATGATTGACGTTAAAATACCCATACTAAACATTTATATTTATACTTATTTAAATGCTAATTTAGCAGTCAAATTTTCTCCCAATTTTGAAAACGTTTACGAATATAAATTTTTTTTGTATCTATGTATATCTGTATTGATTGAATTTTTAAATTTTAATCAGCATTATAATGCTTTTCTCAGTATTAAAAATGAATAATCAATCGCATCATTCTTATAACAAAAAACAGAACTCTTGATTAGATCTTGCTATACGAATTATCTCATTTAAAACTCATTTTCACAGCTGTTTTTATACTATTATTTACCAGTCGTAAAAGCTGACTTATAACTTGGGCACGGGTATAAAAAGTTGTTAAAAAACAGCAAAACGAGTCAAAGCAATTGACAAAACGAAAAGTGACCCCTCGAGCCGGACCGGAAGAAAGGTGCGCCTAACTTAGCTTCAACGTTGGCTGCGTGCGTGCGAGTCAATGTAGACATGAAAATGTTGCTACACATGTTACTATTGTATTTTGTGTATATATAAATAAATAAATATATATATATAATGCATGTGCATATATAGGTTGATGTTTTTGAATTAGCATAATAAATGAAGACATTTTGACGGCAGATAGAAAACACAATGAAAAGCACCCAAAATCAAATTAAACGCCGGACATTGTGACAACTTTTAAGCCAATTAGTGAGAAGTCTCTCTCTCTCTCTTGCACACACACACCGTCAAAAGTCTGCAGCAGCACAAAACTGACTAATCTGAACGGAAAATCTGCAACTGAAATTACAAACAACTGAGAAACTAAATATGACAGAACTAAGCTCATATGAATTTGGGCACAACGGAAAGTGAGGTGGAGATTGAGGGTTAGGGTTGTCGGGAAAGGACTGCGTAATCAGGGCACAAAAGTTGTCTCGTGCTGCTGGCAAATAATAAATAAAGTCACAGCTAGGCCCAGGCTTATGAATGCCAATTTCCTCAACTCATAGAAACAGCTCGTATGTCTATGGGCCATGTCTATTTATATGACTATTTGTTACTATTTGCATAGGCGCCCAACTTGGAGCAGAACACTGAAAGAACACTGAAATAAATTAAGTGTAAATGCAAGTAAAGAAAAAGAAATGCATCCTAATAACATTAATGCGAGTTTGCCTCACGAATTTGTCTGCATTATGATTATTTATTTATTTATTCTAGTGATATAAGCTTTAAACCTATAAATTATTGCGCTAATACCAAGTGATTTAAATAAATT